CAAACATACAAAAGCTTGTAACAATAAAGAGCCCAATAACCAATCGTAAAGACTCCGGCAGCTGTAGGGAGCCAAAAGCTTCTTGGAGGGGGTTGGATGGAAGCTGAGTTTCCCTCCCTGCTTGTATTGTATTTCTTTCCTCTGCCAAAATGTGCTTCCTGAGTCTTGGGCAGAGCTCTCTGCCGCTGACCCTCACCTTCCTCTGTTTGGCCTGGAGCGCAGGCTCGCCACGAGCGCCTGCAGCCGCGCCTGGGGACGGGCAGAGCCTCCTGCTGCGTGCACATGGCCAGGGTCAGCTCCGCTGTCAGCGCCTTCCTGACAGCGAAAGCCAAGTCGGGCCACACCTGACCACGTCCCACTCCGATGCAGGAGTCCAGAGAGAGCCACAGGCTGGGGGACACGGCTATGAGCAATGTGATGCACATTTATGGGCTCCGTCCAGTCCTTTTCTCCCAGACAAAGATGAGGCAGGTTCCTCCCTCCTGCACGGCTACAAACAGGAGGCAGTGAGAACAAAGCCGGGGTCAGATAGTGCGCTAATCAAAGGGGTAATTCTGGCTCCATTAAAATTCTCGCTCCTGTTCGCATGGAAGCGGAGGGCTGCGCTCCTACTTATAAAGAGCTGAACCACCCTCAGGGTGACTCATAGCCCTTGACAGAGCTGCCATGCTGATTTTACAAATATTAGAGCAATGCCTCAGAGTCGGTGTTTTGTATGGTTTAACCTATCAATTTGGGAGCAGACCCATAGCTTTTTCAGAAAGCTCCCCTTCTCTGCATTTTATTTCCTTTCCTGGTGCCAGAGCCGGAGCCAAAGCCAAGCTTAACAAAGCAACAGGCATGGCCGTTCTTCCCAGCGCTCATTTTCCCCTGGTAAGAAGGGAGAAATCAATTTAAAACCTGTCAAAACAGCAAAAGCTCTTTGCCATTTTGTGCTGCAGAACACAGCGTGAACCAAACGCACACTTGAAACATCTGCATTTGCCAGCCCAGCCACAAGCACAGGAGCACACAGGTTGGGATCCTTTTGTTCAGGCAACTCCAAAAAGCGTGATGTGGGCACAGAGGGCAGCAGCGATAGGGAGACGCTTGGGATGCAGGCAAGATAGAAGAGCTTCTACCTTATTAAATGTTTGCATTTCTTGTCTTTGAGCTGTCATTCCTGGATCCAGTCAGGTACAGCAAATCTCTTCATGTTCCCGCAGCTTCTGGTGACAGCCTGGAGCAGCTCTGAACCAGACAGCAGACTCAGAGCAAACACAACACAGCTCTCCTCATTACCCACTTTTGTCAAGCACATACTTCACACATGAGAAGAACCTGCACCCATGCACACGTGAGCCCTGCTAAGGCTTCTGCAATGTAAGGGAGTAGAGAAACTTGTTGTCGAAGCAGACACCAAAGCCACAAATAACCCCTGCACCACCAGGTGGCTTGTGCTGCTGACCACCCCTTGGTACCTGGGAACCACTCCCCTTTCAGCATCTGCTTTTACTTGTCTATTCCTAAAGAAAAGAAAACAATGTGCTTTTACATTAAATATTGCAATTAACGTGCTTCCCACATTTGCCCCGCAGGTTCAGAGCCATCCTGTTCTCTGCAGCACCAGGGACATCCTCTTCCTGGGTTCAGAGAGGAAAATGCCATTTAGACTGGGATTTCCCAACCACCTTTATATACTTTGGCTCTCCCTTAACTTCCTTAAATCACATCAAATGTGATCGAGGTGGTCAGAAGATTTTCAAACCATTTTTCTTCCTCTTCCCACTTCATACTCGATTCAAGAGCTTTTGTGTGTGTAAGAAAAATCAAGTTGAGACAGCATTCAAGTGAATTTTGTAGCAAAGACAAAAGACCTAACGAAGTTTCCAATAGCAGTACTGAAGTAGCCCTAGGACTTTCATGATAGCAAAATCTTCACAGATGCCCAAGATCACCTTAATGCAGCCACAAGAGGGAGTCTCAAATCTCCTGTTAATATCAGATGGATTACAGTTCCAAAACATCTCTAGTACAAGAGTACACAGCAAGCTTTCAAAAGGATTTTCAGAAGTTACTCTGAACTCCAGATTTCTTCTCTGACTTCATAGGAGTACCTTGTTCTGAAGGTAAAGGATCTTTAAAATTACGAATCCTTGGTGTAAAGATGCAGGTTTTCCTTTTCTTAGGAGGTAGGGAATTACCTTATTTATCCACTCTAGACCCACATTGCAACTGAAGGCAGAGGAAGAGGAGTATGTGACTTCTGGAAGTCCTTTTTTTAGCAGAAATGAGAATATGGATAATATGATAAGCAACAGAATTATGAATTAAATAAATGCAATTCCTTTCCACCACTTGCCCAGATTTGGTGACTTTAAGCAGAGTGGGAGCTGCTGTTGGACTCCCAGCCTTTTTGGCTAACAGTCCGCCTTCTCCAGCCTTTCTGCCCTGGGAGTTAGGCAGAACCATCTGAGACCAGGGCAAGTCAAACCGCCAGATGTCTTGGAGGGGAACTTTCTCTCCAGGATGCTGTCGTGCTAGTGCCACACAGTTCTGCTGCACCAGAAATGCACATTCCTACCTTCCCGAGATTAGAAATTGCACTAGGATTTTACTCTTCCATCCACAACCTGCAAGAACAGAGCAGGCTGTGCCTAATCTAACCCGTGATGTGGCAAACTACCATGCCACTGGCTTAACATTTTGTTAATTTGACACATTTGATAAGAATGGGCTCTGGCAGAGCTAAGAGCCCGCAGCATAACAAATAGCACTTCTCACATCGCCAGTAAAATATCTGTGTTGAATGTGTATGTCTGCTCTCCATCTGCCAAAAAGATGTCAAGATACATTCTTCAAAAATACTTTCATGGTCTTTACTCAGTCTTGACATTTACTTGTGCTAAAGTTTCCAAGAAAACATTACAGCTCCAAAGGGGGCACCTATGTTTGGTTACAGCCACACGATGATTTTGAACAAAAATAGCTACGTACAGGTACTGCCCAAAGCACCAAGAAACAGACCCTGGGCAACACTTTGTGCAGAGATTCAGCCAAGAGACAAAGACAAGAAGCAATTATTGCAAAGAGGTTAATGAAAGAAGTGCTCACAGTACAGCTGAATTCTACTTGACTTTATCACTTCACTGTCTTCTGCTGTTCCCTTCTGTACATTCACCTGCCCGCTCCTGCTTGAAACTGAAGTGGGGATATGGGCAAGCAGATCGTTAACTCTGACTTTTAAACCTGGTCAATGCATCATCGCTGGATCAACCACCTCTGACCCAAGAGGCAGTAGATTCAGCTGCCACTAAACAGATAAACAGTCTTAAACCTTTGAAGTTGCAGCATAAACCACTTTTTTTTTTGCTTACAGTACTAGCCAACTTAAGGGTGAGGCTCCTAAAAGGCTGTTTAAAAAAAACCTGTCCCCCTATTTACGCATGTCATTCTTTTCAGCAGCAATTTAATGGGAAAAAATACTCTTTAATTACGATTAGAGGCTGACTACTGGAATGCCCATGCCTGTATATTCAAAAGCAGATGTTCAGCAGTGCAATGTTTCACACATCATCCTGACAATAGTCAGTTATTAACAAAACACAGTACTACCTAAAAAGTCTTTCTGTGAGATTGCTCAACTATTGCAGTGGGTCAGCAACAAAAGATCAGATGTGGCACGTGTTAACATCCCAGAACAATTTATTCTCTACTTGGCCAAACCTCATTTCACTCACTCAGCTGAATGTAATTAGACCTCGGGCTTGTCCCAGTTTCAATCTCTGCAGAGAAGAGGTTCTCTTTCCTCAGTAACACGGGGCTGCTCTGAAACATTGGCAGCGATCTGGGAGGAGAAACTGCAGACGTGCACATCATCTCACTGATTTCGACAGGAGCTGCTCAGAGCACGATATGTACATTAAAATGCAAACATGTATGCCACAGCACCTGCCTAGAGTTTCAGTCAACACACCCCAGCTTAAAGCAGCAAGAACCCATGAGCCACACAGTGCAGGAGCTATTTTTAGACAAATGTTATACGATTTCCTCTCTGGCTCCACGGATCAGAAACATATGCTGCAGCTACAGACCCATTACAGCTTAATCCTACCCCAAACAAGGAGATGGTAAATCTTCAGATCCTAGTAACAGTTAGGCTACTCAGGGAGCAAAGCACTACTCAAGTCTTTGCTATGGTTCAAGCCACACAACCAGGCCCAGAGCAAGCTAAACTGCACGTGGCTTTGCAACAAGAGTTTCTATTTTTTTCTGATCTTTGTAATAAGGTTCTTGCTATTGGGTGGAAGTGGAGGAAAAACTAGATCTACTTCCTATGAAACACCGGACTTTTAGATATTGTAGAAAATATAAATTAAAGAAAACCATCAAGTCAGGGCCTTGAGACAGAAGACAAGCCACCACCTTACACTGCTTAATAGGCCAGGAAGATCCTTTGGGAGAGAAGTCTTTCCTTAAAGGTGTCAAAAATGTAATGTGTTTTTTCTGATGAAGTAGCTTGTGTTGCCTCTATCCCCCAAAAAATGGAAGCCAGTAACCCAGCTGCATGAGGACTCATTAGCTGGTAAGTAGCATAACGCTCTTTACATCAGAAACAGCACTGACCTCACACCAAGAAAAAGTCATAGATTCAGACTAAAACCTTCTTCCAAGACAGATTTTAGGTTAAACCGACATAGCAGGAGTCCCTTGGAAACAAACACACAATTCAGCTGCAAGACTAAGGCAGGACATCAACGACTTGTTTGTTCTCCAAGCTTCCTTGATACAAGTGACAGTGTTCTTAATAAGTAAAGAAAATCTCACGTCAGTTTTTGATTGTTTGAAGTCAGAGACTCTGGCTACATTTCTACACATCTCAGACAAGCCTGGTAGCCACTATCAAGCAAATGACACTGCTAGTATCCAGGTGGTCCTAAGGGCTATGTGACTGCAGAAAGCACTGTGCAAAACAGGGAAATACTGGGTTTTTTTAGTTGCTATGATGTGTGAGTATCTTTAAAGAAGTCTACTAAGCCACATGTAACAGTTTTGGGTTCTTTAATCATTAAAGATATACCCAACACATAACGGACAGTTTACATTTGCAAGCAATGTCTTTGCACTTCAGTTACGGCACAGTCTGCCCACTTTTACCAGGACCAGAAAAAGAGCCTACTCCCAAACGGAGAAGGCTTCAGCTCTCCTTCAATAGGTGGATTGGGCTCTGGTCTAGGTCTAGAGTGATAGGCATTCTCAGGCTTGGGACGGTCTGTCTTCACTTTCGTCACCTGGAAAGAAAAAAAAGAAGTGATACGACTTCTCACAGCACTTCACAGAAACGCTAGACTGAGTCAGCACTTAAAGGAAGAACTACCAAGAAGTACCAAATGGCACTAAGGATACATTGTTGATCTGATGAGAGCTTCTATCTTCAGGATACTTCTAAAAGAAAAACAAAGGAGGGCATTTCACTTGTAACTAGAGTAGTTCTGTATATGTGTGAGCTTCAGTCCTAAAGCAAAGGTCTCTGTGCTAGGAAAAGCAAAAAAGTAAGATTAAGTGGCATGGTCTAAGAAAGGTGCAAGTTTTCTGGGACAGCAACCCTGGAGAACACTAACAGAAGACCTAGTGAGGTCCACAGTGTTAAGTTCATGAACAACCTTCTGGTCAGGAGAAGAGTTTGGACCTAGTCTGGACAAAATGTCCCTAAGAAGGCAGTGAAGAATCTGCCGATCCTGTCAAAAAGGTATGAAGTTACCTTAGATAGCTCTCCCAGATCAGGCCTCACCCAACCCAACTTCTCCAGCACACAGTTATCAAACACTGCCTGCTGCTTTCGGCACCGACGGAACTCCTGCAAGTTGTTATAGTCAATGCACGTCCAGTACTCAGTAAATGGCTCTGCACAGTGAGTCTTAATCTTCCTGTAAGAGATTGCAGAAAGAAAATGGTTAGCAAGTGTTGTAGCTTTAATGTTTTGCTCTCTTATGCATTCAAACTTCAACATGTGATAAAGAAGCTTTAAGTTCTCAAGAACATTTAAGTTCTCAAGAACATTTAAGTTCTCAAGAACATTTAAGTTCTCAAGAACATTTAAGTTCTCAAGAACATTTAAAAGTCTTCAGAGAAGTCAATACTTTGAACATCATTAAACAGAACTTGACACCAACACCAATAAAATTTTTATCACTGTAGCTACAAGGAGGGATAGCAATAACTTAACCAGTATGTGGAAGGTATTCTTGCTAGGTAGGTGTACACAGCTCTCCCATATGGGATCCTTGTTTTGCTAAGTAACATATTGTACATTAGACACCGCTCTGTGGCTTCCAAACTAATTTGCTGTCTTCAGCTCAGGCAGATAGGCTTAGGACAGAGGTCTCTGATTAACAGCTGCTGTACTGGAAGTGGACATGCTTAGAGATAATTAAACCAGGCCTTTTGCTAGCAACTTAAGAACACAATAGTGGCACATGCCTTGATCTATGCTTTTGGTCACAAGAGGCAAATGGTGTATCTACTCCAGCTTTCACACGTGAAAAGTATGTCTGTGAAACAGAGAGGACAGACAATGCAAGGCTTAGGTTGGTTTCCCAGAGTTCATAATAAAGATGCAAGGTGCGGCAGTAGCAAGCCTTCCACCAACCCCCTGCATTCCCAGCTAATGTAACAAAAAGCTGGACCAGTTTCTCAGGCGCAGAGGCCATGGAGCTTCATATAAAAGGATAAACTGAAGTAAAAACAAATAAAATAAGAACAAAAAGGGCACAGCCTCTGCCTTTAAGAGTTCCAAGTTTAAGAAGCAAGAATAAAGTCCTTGGAGGCCACAATGGTGGCAACATTTTGAACTAAACCCAGTGACTGTCAGCGCTCGAATAACAAAACTCAGCAAGGACATGCTACACCGGGAGCTCCCCAAACGCCTTCACCTTCAGGGGTGACCAGCGCTTCGGCCTAGGCGCCCTCCGGGAAGGC